AATAGGTTACAGTGTTTTGGCAGCTTAGATTTTTTGTGTTAGTTTGTCAGACACAGATGTAAAAAGACCCACCCTTCTGTGGCACATGCTGTGCAGGGGGTGTCTGTGATGACTATGGCCCATGAGGTTTAGGGTTGCATATTTCTTTTGCAAGGATTTAGAAATGTTGTTCCAAGCATTTTGCAATTGTTATTTCACTCGTGGTTTTAGGAGAGATGTCTTTTATTTCAACAATGCAAAGAATTAATGACTTTCAGACTTCTTTGCACTAGACCTGGAAATACACATCTTGTAGATGAGACTGTACACTGCTAAAGTTCAGTATTTAAAATTGACCCCAGGTAACAGGCTATTGCAGTCAAAACCCCTCTGACTGGGTTTATTTCCCAGTGCCAGTGCGCAATAAAATCCTTATTCTCTGAAAGGATTGATTACAGTTCGGATAATCTGACACTGTTCACTCTTTGGGGTTGACTGCAAGACTACAGTATTTCTGTCATTGTTTAGACAGTTGATTTGGTCACTCAAATGACCTGACTGGAGAATGGGAAGATGAGACCTGCTCTTTGCCTTTCTCTGTCAACCCAGTGGTTTTTTTCCCTTCGGTCCTTGAGTATTTTGAACAGACCGTGAGTTAATTTTATAAAGTATCTGCTAGATGGGAAGTGCCATATTTGTGTCTGTGCTGCATGAGCAAAGAAAGTATTTGACTCTGGACAGCTTTGTCTCAGATGGACCACACCATAGCTCTGCTGAAGTAGATTGTAGGGCCTCTATATTAGGTGCCATCTCTTTATGAAACATAACTTCTTGCTGCATCTTCCTTAGAATAAGGATCCCCTTTTTGTGGGTACAATATAGTGCAAAGTCTATACAGGGTTTCAGGCCTCAGTGCTTCTGTACAAGTGACTTAAAAGTGCAATTTAGAGAAGAGAATACTTGATTTCTGATGTTGCAAACGTCCTATACGTGATCCCATATTCAGCATCTGCCTATAAACTTATTATTTGTCAGGGAAGAATTTTTATGTAATTGACTATTATTGTTATAAACTATAATCCATATTACAGTGGGTCATGGTTTAACCCCAGCTGGCAACTAAGCACCATGCAGCCACTCTTTCACTGACTGACGTAATCAAGAAAAGTAATAGAACTATCTAAAATGTGGGCTATCCTAAACTTAGCTATTAATGGTAACTTTATAAATATGGAATGAAATGTCTAAGCTATCTTCTCTTTAGATACCAGAAACTCTTCCAATGTTAATAAATCTGACCTCAGATAGCCTACAACTCTTGTTATGATAAAGCTTTCCTTGACAATGCTCTTCAAATGAGCCCAGCCACCTGTTTCACACAGGTAAAAGCGATCACCAAATTTCAACAGCTGCTCAGCTGAATATTCACAAGCTTTCTTAAGGCAGACAGTAAACCAGGAAATAATACCCCCAGCATTTGTTTAGAGGCTGGGAAGAGTGGTGAGGTGCCAGGGCTGTGTCTGGGCTCCTGCATGCTGGAAGCAATTGAGCATCGCTCAGGTGAGGTCATGCGCAGTGCTGAAAAATTGTTGGTCCTTATTCATACCCACTCTTACAGATTATGACAGTCATTCAGATATTCTTGAGTTTGATGGTTGTAATAAATCTTACAGTTACATCTAAACCTGAAAGAGATTTGTGGGCCAAGAGGAGGCTCATTTCAAGTACTGTGAGTTCTGATTTAGTAGTTCTGAAACATATCATGGAGTCTCACTGTATTCTTTAAGCAATGCAGTTAAAATATGTGAAATTATTTAAGGAGCTACTAAGGAATGAAATCATAAGCTTTAAAAGAATATGTCAATAGAGAATATCTGCTGTGAAGTCTTTTTTTTTTTTTTTTCCCAGGTTTTTACTTACAGGAAGTTGATATTTGGCTAATTTTTCATGTAACTTCTTTTTTTTTTTTTTTTCCCTGGGAACTGTGTGTTATTATTGATGCAGGAATTATATTTTAGTGCTGCAATGAACTAATAATGAGAGAACATACTCTTTGTATTCATTATTTATTTAAACTTTCTGATTTGTTGGTTAGTGGCTTTGTATCTACCAAGTCAGCTAATCTTAAAAAGAGTATGTTTCTATAGTACCTTTATAGCTGATTACCTTTCCTCAGATATTCTGATTATATTTTTGTGGTTTTACCCCTCACCTTTTATGTGGAGCTAGTGATTGCAACACAGGTGATACTCAGCTATAGTTTTTCTTCACTCTGAGAGGCTTATCCTTCCACACTTTCTGATATTTCACATGCAGTTTAGTGAGAGAATGTGCTGCTGTTTTCACCCCCTCATGTAATTTGACAATCTAATAATTAACTAATCTGAGTTTCTCTGATTAAAGGAGCACCATAGGGCTTAGTGTATGTGAAAGCATCATGACAGAAATAATTTGTCAAACACTCATTGCCTAATTCCGCAGTGTTGACGAAGAAAAATATTTATCAGTACATTTTTAGCCAGCTACCAACACTCATTCAGTACACTGGAATATCTTTAAAGGAGATTCAGATATGAAACCGATTCAAGATCACTGCAGTTCAACATCTAACCCAATTTAACTGTTTAAAATGCATTCAAATTAATTATTGAAATCCACATTTCCTGAAGTGTGTTTAGTTTTATGTTATATGTGAAGGGCATTATCTGAAACATAACTATACCAACCTATAGATCCCTAGACTTATGGAAATACTTAGTTAAATGATCTCTATAAAAGGCCCCAAATGATCCCTCTCATAGAAAATAAAATAGAGAGAGTGTTAAGTAAAGAGGAAAGACCTTGGAACATCTCCTGCAGACCTCTCTTCAGATCCTTTTGTGATGGATGTTGATATTATGCCATGGTAGAAAAAGAGAAAATTGAGTTTCCAGAGCTGAGTGATCTGCTGATGTCCAAGGTGCTTCAGACAGAAAGGTTAATACCTCAGCAGTAATTAATGCTTCCCTCATCTTGATCCCTCCAACATAATCAGCCAAAACAATCCCACACCCCACATTCTAACTTGTATGAGACAGGAGAGGAACAGGATGAGTAAGAAGACAGGATTGGAAAGGTTTTATTAAATTGTGGGATGACTGCTGGGTATGGGGTGATGCTTCTATTACCCCATCTTCCTGTCCCTCAGTACACTGTTGTGGCTTTCAGACAACCCTGTGTGATATTTGGAGAGAGGAGGAAAGCATTGCAAAAATCAAGCTTCCGTAAGGACATGTTGGATTTGATCACTTGTAGGTACACACTTTTGCAAACACATGCATTTCTGCACAGTTAGACATTATATGCAGTTTTTAAGGAAATGGTATCTATTGTCAAGGCAAAAGAAACATGCATTTGCCACGTGACACTCACCTTAACTCTGCACTATAGACATTTTGGCCATGCTGCTGGTCTTGTGATTGCTTTTTGTATTAACGGAATAAGTTTTTGCTAACTAAATATTTTAGAAGGATAGAAATGTTTACAGGAATATATGTCTTGCATATTCAGTTACATCAGATTTCTGAGCTGGTGTTTTGCTTGTACTAGTTGTTTTCCTTTGGAAAAATAAAAAAAAATCAAACAGGGAGCACTGTAGTTTCTAGAACGCCACTGGGACTCAGGTACTAAACTATCTCCTCTGAATTAAGCTTTTTTTTTTTTTTTTTTTGAGATAGGAAGAGCAGTAGAGAGCTATCACATGGCAGAAGTACATAGCTTTTGTAGCCTGTTAAATATTTACAAAGTAAGGTCCTGTGTGATTTATTCAAGACAGACATGCATTGAAATCTGGCTAGGTTTACTCCATGAAAAAAATAGGCTAGAATGGAATTCAAAACAACTAATCTAGATAATCAGTGAACACCTTGCTTTTGGAAAAGAAAATAAGCAGTGGTTATAGAAAATGAAATTTATTTCCATTGCAATAGTAATGAGAAAGATAATGAACTGTAACTGAGGAGTTTCCAAAGAGAAGAGATCCTTTCTGATCAATTGTTCTACCTGAAAGTTTCAGAGGGCAGAGTTGCAGTGTTTTCTGCCAAGAGATTGTTCAAAGTTCTTGCAGATATTTGCACAATATGATATAAAACAGGCAAAGGGTCTTTTCAAGCTGGGAACACAAGTCTGGATTCAGACCTTCTTTATCAGTGTATTTCTAACTGCATATGGAAATAATTTGCTATTACAAAAAAATCCTGAAAACATTGAATAATTAGTGATGGTAAACTTTATCTGTTTTATTGATTGTTACTTGTTTAAGCTGAAAGCCAGATTCATAACTTCTAAGAAAAATATGTGAGTGGAATGAATTTTATTTTAGTTTCATTTTCACACATCGCTTTCCGCATAAGCTTTTTTGATATAATTATTTAAATCTGATTGTAATATGATGCAGTACATTAACATTTTAACTTGTTCTCACTGTTCTGAAAAGTGAAACTTTTCCTTCTTTGCTCCATTTATAGTTTCTGAGAAACTTATCACTGCAGAAAGTTTGTTTCATGAGAAAAACAGCACCCACCCCAACTGTAATATGAGATGATTCTATCACACTTGCACACTTCCTGAAATACTTAGGTTAAGAGGATCACTAAACATTAATTGCTATTATGTATAATATCAGAAACAGGTCAGAACAAACACTTTAAGCACTGATTTACAGTTACTTCCATGGTTCATCTAAAATTAAAATGAACACATCCTACTGTCTGAGCTGAATGCACAAGAAAAATTAGAAACTTGAATGCTACTAACCTTGGTGTATTTAATTTTCAGATTTTTGAGGGCTTCTGGTAGCGCTGGCAAAACTGGAGCAGGACTGCCATCTGAACCTTGCTTCTTCATATTTTTAGTTGAGGAGTTTGAGGACTTTCCTGAAACACAGGTGAAATGAGGTATAAAGGAAGGGCAGTGATTTTTGTCCTGACTGAGCTCTTAGCTTTATTTGTGCTTTTTTATCTGTACCAGCTACGGTATATTTGCATACAGGAATATGATTGGATGAAAGAATTCATTGCAAAGAGAAAATGACACTACTTATTTTAAGACCAAAAGCAACAGCCTTTTCACCGAGCTGAGACCTCAACGAAGCAAATGCTGCTGAAACAAACTGCTTAGCCAGACGCCATGAACTTCTAACTGGGGAACACAGTTTAAGGCCTCCTCATCTTTCCTGTAAAACTGCTTTCTCTCAGCAAGCAGGTCCCCAGATTTTAAGTGAAGTTCTTCACGTACTTGAAGGCAGCTCTGAAGGTGAAGACAGACTTGTTAGCTCTGGAAACAAACTAATCCCTTCTCACTGGAGAGCTGGCAAGAATAATTCCCAGAGCTGGAAAGCATTCGCTAAAAAACAAGCCACCTTAGGTTATCCTTTCATATGTTCAGACTACATTATAATTCCTGTAATTAATACTTACTTTGTAGAACACAGAGATAAGGGATGACTATGGTGATACAAAAGCTTTCATGTGTTTATCAAGAAATGTGAAAGTAGGACAAAATTGATCAATCCAGAAAAAAATACTCTGTGGGTAGAACCAAGCAAAAGCTTGTTGGTTTTTTTCAAGATAGCACCACAATTTTAAGGACAAAATTTTTACTACAGTGCCCTTTGGAAAATCTGAGTTTGTGCCTTTCAAAACAAATTACTTAATAGACAGAACTTTTCTACCCAGGGTGGAATCCACTGGTGCATATATGTCCAGTTCTGACCATTCAATGAGAGACATATAGCCGGTACTGGCAAATCATTTTATAAGGCATAAGAAAATCCTTTCTTTGTTAAGTCCTACCTTTTCTGGTAAATCATGTCACAGAAGAAACTGGGACTGAATTAACAATTTTTTTTATATGCTAAGCTTGTGCAATGAATTTGTGCCATAGAAATAAAGAGAAATGATCTTATTGCTTTCACTGAGGCTACACAGATGCTTGAAAAACTCACTGAGCTCAGTTAATTCATATATGTTATCTAATCCATCTGGCAATGGAAGCTTTGTTGCTTTTAACTGATGGATGATATAGGACACATCACGAGATTAGTCTTATGATGCATTAGTTATATGTAACATACTTTCTGAATTAAAGAGCATACTATAATTATAATTGATGATTTTTGTGTTTGGAGGTATGGTTGGAGCTGGATTTTCTGGCCTTTAGAAAAATCCAAGTAATATCTGGATGAGAGAAAATTCTATTCTCACAGGAATCACGTCTCCGTGAGATGTAAAGAGCTGTGTGGACTTGAACAAGTTTCAGCCATTCACCCTGTCATGTGGATGAAGGGCGCCCATTCCCATTGCTATAATGCCATGATACCCAGGGTTACCAGCTCAGCTGATTCCGTCTGGATGCATCCTTCAGCTCTCCTGCCTCAGCTGGCTGGCTTAAGACATGCCAATGTAGGACAGTATATTTGAAAGGTTTGTGAACAGAACTTTCAGATCTTAACATTTTGGGTTACAACGTTTGCCTGGCTTAGATAATGTCTTTGAGTCTCATGAAAAAATAAAATGCCTAAATAGGGTTTGGGTTTTCTTTTTTTTTTAATTTCTATGTAATTTTCTGGTTTAGACACTGAAGTCTACTCTAATAATCTTTCTGCCACTCATTTCTCCATTAACCCACAAGGAGTTTGTCTCTAGTTAATTCACCTGTTAATTGCTCAGATTTGCCTAATTTAAACAGAATTTAACTGGAGCTGCAAGACAGAGATCAGTGAAATTGTCTGGTTTCAAGCAAGCAAAAATCTTTACCTCAAGTGGGAGTGTTCTAAATACATTCTCGTATTTAGGTACCAATGCATTCCTGATAATTTTTTTTTAAATTATTAATCTAGAAGTGAATGATGGTAACTTTTTTTGGAAAATGACAGCATTTATCCTCTTCCCAAGTCTATAAGAGCAGTCTGAAATCTGCTTAGACAGGCTTTAGAGATACTACCCTAGGTGAAAAGTTCCAACATTTCTAAACATGCTGGTAATCATTGCTCTATTTTCCACAGCATTCATTCATTTAATACATAATTCACCCCTTTTTTTTCCTTTCTATTTCCCTCTTTCACTCTTGGATTGCATGAATCACCTTCACTACCATGCTTCCTGTGAAGCCTTTCTTTTCTCTCTAAACCTTGTGTATTGTTAAAAAGATCTCATCTCTTAAAAAGATTACTTCCTATCTTGAGCAATTTGCTTATCCTATCGTCGGGCCTTATCTGCTGAGACTTGCTCCAAGCATTACCATTAATGTCAATAATTCCTTTAACTTCTCTGTGTTCTCATATCTATGAATGTCTGACTCCCCTCCCTTTTTCTAGGAAATTCTAACTACTGCTTAGACTAGCTGTTCATGACCAACCCAGTTGTTCCCATCCAATAACATTCCTATTCAGCCTAGGATTCCTTTTACCCTGGTGTAGAAACTATTTCCTTTTCCTTACATCCATGTCCCTGTTTCTTACACCTTCCTGCTATTTTCAGTCTGTGACTTTTTCCCCCATCCTGCATCACTACTGTTGAACACTTCACCTAAATAAAGATGTGCACTTCAAGCACTGTAACTTTAGTGGATGGTACTATTCTTTCAAATGGGACCTGATGACATGCATCCCAGAGTCCTGAGAGAACTGGCCAATGAAGTCGCCAAGCCACTCTCCATGATATTTGAAAAGTCATGGCAGTCAAGTGAAGTCCCTGGTGACTGGAAGAAGGGAAACGTTGTGCCCATTTTCAAAAAGGGTAGAAAGGAAGACCCCGGGAACTATTGACCTGTAAGCCTCACCTCTGTGCCCGGGAAGATCATGGAACAGATCCTCCTAGAAGCAATGCTAAGGCACATGGAGGCCGGGGAGGTGGTTTGAGACAGCCAGCATGGCTTCACCAAGGGCAAGTCCTACCTGACCAACCTAGTGGCTTTATATGATGGTGTGACGTCAACGGTGGACAGAGGGAAACCAATGGATGTCATCTATCTGGACTTCTGCAAGGCCTTTGACACGGTCCCCCACAACATCCTTCTCTCTAAATTGGAGAGCTATGGATTTGATGGGTGGACTGTTCGGTGGATAAGGAACTGGCTGGATGGTCGCATCCAGAGGGTAGTGGTCAATGGCTCAATGTCCGGATGGAGA